GCCACCGAGCTGAAAGCTGAAATGTCAACTAACAGTCGCACAAAATCTAACCTGTTACTTTTAGTGCGCAGTGATACGGAACAACGCTCGGGTCAATGTGATCAGCAATCCTACATTATCGCTGAATAATTCACACCCCGTGACTCACTCCCAACCACTCAGAACGCTGGACATGTATCATAAGCATCAGATGAAGAACAGCTAGTCTCTACCTCTTCAACTACATCTGTGCGTTGTATTCCAGGGCTTTCATCTCCGGCATGAAGGTGTCGACGTAGAGAAAGAAAAGCCAAACAATACGGCCGAGCGAACACCTTGTGGGAGCTGAGGCTTGATAGAAGAAAAGAAGAAACAAGCAGACATGTACAGGAGGGTGGTCACCGACTAGCGAGAAGGCAAATTAGGGGCCCCCAGCGCACCTTGGGGGGTGTTAGAACGGCGACCATGAACCACATCATCACTGATCGTGATCGGAGGGCCACGTCCCTCGTTGCACACATCACACTCTATTATGATCAAGTCATTATTTGCTTTGTTTGGCCCCACAACAAAAGGCTGGAGGGGCATGAGAGGATTCTCAATATAATACTGTATATTTGTGACCATCATAAGTACAAAGCGACAATGAGTGAGAAGACGTCATCAGGTGGATTCCAAGCTCTCTGGCGGTAGGAGGAGCGGTGGGCGCGGTGTCGGGGGGGGGGGGGGTCCGGGCTGCGAGGAGAGGTGGGCACGAGAGAACAGGAGCCCGGGACCAGAGGAACTCTTTGTCCAAAGGGACTCTGGTGCTTCTGGAACACGGCCGCTCAAAGTAAACGCACAGCGAAAGCTCCTTTAAAGCATCAATCTTTTTTCAGTGAACTGGGTGAGTTGTTTGAAAAGTAGAATTATGCACAAGATTTTGAAAACTTGAAGCTCATGTATCAACCAGCTGGTAAACTAAGCGCAATGTGAATGTTTGCACTCAGTAATACATCATAAATCAACTAGGAAGGAAACGTTAATGATCCCCTCTTTACAGATGATATAAGCTACATTCATCACAGGTTCTCCCTGTGTGATTTAACCTTTATTTGTAAAGTGGGTTATTCACACGCGTGGACCGATATGTAAAACATAACATGTACGCTCACAAAAGGGCCTTTTTCCCCCGTTGGTTTCACAGGGAGAAACTAAAATAACCAGAGAAAACATGGGAGAAACAAATTGCCGCATGAAAGGTTTATTTTAGAGAAAATCTGAAATAGATAGAAGCCGAACCCCGTCGTCCTATCTCCTGTGGCGCTGTTCAATCACAACGTGAGCTTCTTTGAGAGCTTAAAACTGGAGAGCCTCGTGCTCACGTCGTGAGGCCAGTTTTCAAAACGCCGTTGTTGTGCTTCTCGTTCACAGCGATGGATTAATACTGACGCGTTTGAAGTCTCCGGCACCTTTTTTGAGGGCTGTCAGGACGTGAATGGTTGGAAAAAGCAACTTGCAGAAGTTCGAGAAGTTCTTACCAGTGGAGTGCACACGTGGAGTGTTTCCTCTGGCTGAAATTAGGAAAGAGACGTCCTTCGCAAAAGAGAGTAAAAACACAGCGTACCCTTGAGTATCATTAGGGGAAGAGACTTGAAGAAGCCCACTTTGGTTTCTTGTAAAGAATTGCCTGGATAAAGACAAAAAAACGCTAATTTCACCAACTCTTGTATGAACGTTGCACTGCTGGAACTCCGGGGGAGTATTTTGTGTCTAAGGTACCCTCGAGATGCTAGATATTTCCCCAAGTGATTTATTAAATGGGGCCGGCTGTAGAACAGCGTGGGACCGCGATTCGGGGGGAGGGCCGCTGTACCGCTCTCCCCCTCGGGATGTGTGCGCACAAATTAGCGTCGGGAAGTGCCTCTTGTTTCTGGAAGCGAGGAGGGAAACTTGCTCACAGTCTGATTTATGTCCCCTCTCCACTCCCACAGACGGCGGCCGCCCTGACCATTTAGACAGCTCTCGCATTAAACGGAGCCGTTTCATTAAATGCAAAATCCAAATTACCTTGTTGCATTTGACCTAAATATGACCCGCACTAACATGCAACCACCTCTCAGGGCGGCGTTCCTCCGTCTTTATGACCGTGAAGGCGAAGCATAAAGAGGAGGTGGTGTGATGACTTCGGGGTCCAAACGCTTCTCTTTTAACGACGGAGGAAAAAGGCATCATTCTTTGTGGTTTCAGCAGTCCATACGTTGTTAAACTGATATAATATAATTTAACATACACGCTTCATAAAATGCATCCCTTGTAAGGTAGAGCATCTGATATATTTGTCTTCTAAAGGTGACCTACAATCACTAGAGTCCCTGAATGCATCGTTCTCAGAGATGGGGTGCAATTATCTTTCTATGTGGGTCGGAAGCCAGTGGGGGATTTTGTATTGATTTATACTGTATTTACAAGTATTGTTCCTAAAATAGGTAAATAATTGAGCAGATGCTTGGAAATTGAGAATGAAATGCCCTTAAAATGTATGAAGAATGATCCCCGGTCTAATCGGACACAAGTGCATTACAAGCCTGACTTTATTCCGTGAAGCAGGAATCCAGCTGACATGCAAGGTCAACGCTTCCTCTTGTTTCTGTCTCCTTGCAATCATTAGCTTGATGTTCATCTGAAGATGCAAAGCTCCCCAACGCCCCCCCAGTCGAGCCAGCGGCAGTTTGCCTGATCTCACCTGTGTTCAAATACCCAGGGTTACATTTCTGAGACCAAATCAGCACGATCGGACTGACTTCAAGCAACCGAGAGAATGAAAGAGAGAATGGCACTGAAAATAAAAAATGCGGGATGAAAGAACGCCAAACCCTCCACGGTGAGATGAAAAAAATAAAAATGAAAGGCTCACAGATGGGCAATCCCAGAGGTCAGGAGGTCCCTCTCTGTATCTTTGTTCTGAGGGCACGGAGAGAAAGGAGCGCTGACAGTTTCATCATCCCGTCCAACACTGATGTACAAGAAGCCGAGCCGCGTTCACCCGGCTGCCCGGGTGATTGCCCCCCAAAACCCCCACGAAATCAAACCACCAGGGATGACAAAGATAAAGAGTCACGGCTTCAGCCGCTGCTCCATCACACCGTCTGCGTACAGCGAGTTGTGATCCAGCGGATTTAACAACTGCTACAAAACAAAATGATCAACGATTCGCATTTTTGCCTTTTTTCAAGTTACCAATGAAGAAGCTGACAATCCGACACACGTGTGTGTTGACTGCTGTGATAAACCAAATCCACATGAACAAACATGTTCCAGAAGGGTGTCTTGTGTTGTGTTTCATGGCAATGGGTCAAAAAAAAGTGGCAACCCAAACGCATTTTGGGGATAATGTCGTATAACAAAGACAAACGTATGTCAAAATCTCAAAAGACACATCTTCTCATCCAACTCCATGAAGTGTGTCCAAACTTTCCACCTGTGCAATGGAGGCAGGATTGTGGCAATTTGGGCGAAATCCAGACTTGAGGATCTTGCCCAAGGACACTTCAAACGCGTGAAAAGGAGGAGCTGGAGGTGAAGAGACCAAGCGATTAATGCTGCTGCTCTGCCTCCCGTAATCAACCCCCTTGGCTTGGTGTTAAACCACTCGCTCTAATTAACTATCACCTTCAGAACGACGGCGCAGAATCACACCGGGACTTTGCCGACCGCAGTGGACGCGCGTCGCTGCTCAGCACACGTGAATTGTACCTTCGTCGTCGCGCCGCCACGTTGCTCGGCCTCTGGAAGGTATTTTGAACTGTAATCAGACCTCTCGGCTGGAATAAGAATCAGCGCATTGATTCTTCCCTCCGTTATTTACCGTGTTTCTTGGCAGAGTTCAGGTGTGATTTAAATGCCCGACACGCTCGCTTAACAGGAGGCAAATGTCACCGAGAAGGTCAATGTCCAATGAGTGGAGATGGGTGTGAAAGAAAACAGCATAAGCGATGGGCTCGTAACGTTGCCTCTGCAATATCCTCCATCTCATCCGCACGGTGCAATGGGCGTTATTTCATTCCCCTCTGCGCTCGCCGCTTATATCTCCCCGCGTATACAGCGAAAGCACAAACAATTGTTTTAATCTCCCGGTTTCCCTCCGCTTGGTTTGCAGAGACTATTTGCGCTGCGGGCTGGAAAGCGGAGACGGTAGAAGGAGCCGGCATCATCTGAGCGCATCGGGTCACCGACCGGCAGAGGAAGGCCACAAAAACCGCCGCCAACCTCCCGAAGACGCTGCTATTCTCTCGCGAAGGCAAACGCACGGACCTCCATGGGTCTTTAGGACGCTTTAAAGATGCCGGCTGCCGTCCGTTTTTCATGTGATGACGAATTAACGCAAATGAGATAAGGAGATTGTACGACGTAATTGATCCACCGAGGCTCAACTGGCAGTTCACCGCGCTACGGAAGCCTCTGCCTGTTCAAAAAAGAGCCACAGCTTTTTGTTTTTGTTCATATCTGCGGAGGGGGGGGGGGAGCACGAACAGATGGACTTTAATCTCAAATTTCGCAGTGCTAAGAAACGACTTCAAAGCGGATCAGCCTGAAGGATGGAGGCACAGAGAGAGAACAAGCAAAAGAGCTAAAAGAAAAAGAGGAGAGAGCGACGTATCCGAGGCAACAACTGAGGCGAACATGCAACAATTAAGCGGTCGGAGGCCGACGCAGCGCTTTGTGACACAAACGTATTTGATCTGCAGCTATTGTTTCACGGTAAACAACAGCCTCGCCGCGCAGTTGGGAAAAAAGCAAGGCGACGGACAGTTGTCTCCGCGACCTTTCACCTGTGAGTGTCGTTCAGACGCCATTACAGAGTCAATCCCCAACAGTCCCTGTGTTCCATCTTCACCCCGTTCTCTGGTTAGGTTTAATATTGGCTGTTTGCCCTGATGTCTACTCTTCCCTTGCTTCAAACTAGTTATTTGTTTGGCTTCTCTACTCTTGTTCTTTGACTAAAATGGTAATCACAAAAATAATCACAAGCAGGAGAATTATTGTGTTTCCCAGAAAAAATACGTTTATTTGTACATCATCATTGAAAGGATTCTAAATGCTCAACATCAGTGTGCTACGTTCTCTTACTGTTAGTGGGTAACAATTGTTCCGTCCGCAGCCTTTGACACATTCGTCCTCCGCTCCCAAGGAGATGAAGGAACACTATCGTTGATCAGGGGGGGTTTGATCTCAGTAAGATTAAGACCCCTCTCGTTACTTACAGCACAAAGGCAGGAGACCCTCAACGTGATTAAGAGGACTACAGGTGGGTAAGCACACTTCAAACAATCCAAAAGCCATTACCAAAATTAAAAAAAAAGACCAAAATGAGTTTACATGGGGAGTGCAATGTTAAAACTATCCTCCTGTCTTTGAAGGGAGACAAATTGAAAATCGCTGGAGACAAATTGAAGGGAGACAAATTTAAAATATCTGACTGGCAGTGTGTATAAAACACTCCCTCAAGTACAGGCTGACCCTAAAAACATAAGAAAAAGGGAAAAAGAGAAAAATCACACAAAAACTGGAACAATTTCTAATCAATATGTTGTCAAAGTTTGAAACGAACAAAATCGCATACCAGAATATAATTACACGTATTGTAAATCACACATATATATATTTCTGTTATGGTCATGACTAAATAAAGTAAGAATATACAACAAAGCTAAACAATAAAAAATATGTGCACCCACAGCTCATCAAATACCACATTATAATTATTTTGTTCAATAAGAAAAAACACAAAAAAGTGTTAAAACAAACACGTGCAAGAAACCTCGAGGAAATTGGCACATTGTTGCATTGCAATTTTGTACGAATTAAATCAAATACATTGAGCGTTCTAGTTGCTTTAGAGGCACTGGGAGGTGGAGCTTTTTTACAGCGCTTTCCTTTAACTTTTTTAACGGTAAGCCAACCACGTACAGCTGTGAGCGTCGTGACAATCAAAGATACTCCGAGCCGCCTCGGTAACAATCTTCCTTCATGACGAAAACGTTTCCCACCTGAACTCGGAGTGCAAACGGCTTCGTCTGGACTCTGTGGTCTGATCCGATTTGATTGACAGTGCCGGCAAAACCAGCAAACAAACCCCCCCCAATTGTCATCAGATTTAAATGCAAATGGGGCCAAACTCTGATTGGAGCACAAACTCCATCCCCCTTCTAACAAAACACTTGTCACAGAAAATCCCCCCCCCAAAAAAGAAAGAGAAACACTGAACCAATTTGAAGGCCCAAACCGTGGGAGAACATTGTGTGTTCATGATTCATTGTAAGAAGCCTTTTTAAAGACACTTCTAGTGATCCCAGCACCCAATGTTTGGTCTCCCAGTGACTCCATCCTCCTTTGTATGCACTCTTAATCAAATAAGCTGCTCCTACTTTATTAACTTGGACAAGCTTGCTCCAGATAAGCCTGTCGTGTGGAGGCGGCACAGAGGGAGAATCAGCCTGCGGACGTGATGCCGGTTGACTCGGGGAGCCCCAGACGCGAGCTTTAGGTCGCCGTGTTATTGTCTGTGGCTTGGCCCCGGAGCTCCGGGGAGAATCGCGTCCTCTAATGGAAAACTATTGTCCGCCGGTGAGCACATTCAACTGTGTGCAATGCGGATCAGCCTATCTGGACTCATGCACAAGACAGAACCAGGCTCTCCACCCGGTAGAAAGCTATTTTGGAATTGTAATATCCACACAAGTCGATTGTGATCAAGCGAAACATCTGGAGTAGAATGTACTCTAGTGCGGGGCCGGGCGGTGTTTTCCAGTTTAGTGGAAAGAAAACCAAGAAATAGTTTATATTTTCTACTCAACAGCCCAATATGCAGCAATAATGCAATGGGACTAAACACATAAAGGTGCACGGCAACAATAAGGCACTCATTCATTGGCTGGGATGCAGGTTAATGAGCATAGCGATGTTAGATTACAAGTGTCTCTGCTTTAAATGTGTCCGCGCCTTGGTGGACGCGTCCTCCTAACAAACAGTCCGAAACAAGAGAGACAGAGTGCAGGTTCGAGGGTCAGTGCAGCGCCCTCCCGTGTGCACGCACGCTGCACACACAAACGCACGAGCTCCGAGGGAAACATTGTCAGACGGATCGTCCCAGAGGACGAGGAACTCCATTCGCCTCGGCGGTTTCTTTGTGCCCAGAGAACGACGACGCGCGTGTGATCTTCCTCCACCTTTTTTTGTGCACCGCAGCAGGTGAAAGTCCGGCGTTGGGCCCCAGAGGAGATCCACGATGGCGATGACGCTTGACGCCGCGCGGGCGTGGATGTTCGGACGGTGAAATCTATTAGGAGAGGAAAGAAAAGAAGGAGCGTGTGAGCTTCAAAAAAAAAAAAGAAAAAAGAAAAAAAAGAAGTGTCCTTTTGTCACGTCCCCGGCAGCCGCGCTTCGTGTTTCGCCGGGGCTAATGCGCGCTTCTCCAATTAATACGAGCGCGGCGTGTCGTTTTCAAAGTGCAGCGACAGGGACCCCGTCGAGGTTCAGGCGACGCAGAGTGCTCTCGCCCACTAATTGCACAGGTGAGGCAGCGAGGACAGCTGAGCAGAAATCCCCTCCAGGAGACGGCCAAAGCGTCCAACCAGAGAGACAAAACAGGGCCGGCCCTGAAGGATTTCAGGGGTAATATTTTCAACATTAAAGATCTATTAAGGGAACATCAAGTTGCCTCAAAGTCACATAAATGTTTGGCTCTACTCACTAAGGGATCGTCATTCAGGTTGGACAATCGTTTTCTCGCTGCTTCATCTAGTTTGGTCCTAACGAAATATTTACTCGGCATGGTTCTAATCAGTCCGTGTGGCTACACCTCTTTATAAATGTAAACACGTCTCTGAGAAGGGTCGTCTGATCCGACCGTGAGGCTAAAAATATATCTGGCCCGCGTTTGACACTCATTTAATATCCAGCGCGTGATGACGTCGGCACGTACAGGTAACACATCCCTGTGAATAGAGAACGCTTCTTCGATGATCCCTTGCATGATCCTCATAGTTTGAGTATATTTTGTTTTTTTAGCATGCAACATGCCATTATAAGCAAATGGCACGTACCTTTAGCACCAGTGAGATGATGGGACGGATGGACTGGTGCAGCTGGGCGATCAGCCTAGAAAGGAGTATAAAAACACCATGAGCACATAAACATATTTTATATTAGGAAAAACAATATCAAGACATCTTTTATGTTTCAATTATTGTAACAGAGGATATATTTTTTTATCAAAAGCCTTATGATAAAGTTATTCCACTAAACAGTTAATATTACTGCTGTTTATCATACATTTTTCTTTTACAGATTTGTGTTACAGATAGCTAATTATTCCCAGGTTTGCGGCTAGATTACGGACTTCAAAGAGACAGGACAACATATTACATCGAAGTTTAGAGAGTGTTTATGTTCAATTACGTTAGGGGAGAGGTTAAACTGGGTCATGTTGTTTACCTTGTGGGACGGAGGTCTTTTTAAACCGCTACTGCCATCCTCTCTCTGCAGAGGTCAGCTGGGGGTCATTTAGAGTCTCTTTAATGGACGGGGCAAAGGCAGGCCCTTTAAACGACCGGGAGAGGGTCACATGACCGGAGGAGGACAGAGAGAGCAAAACAAGAAGAGAGAGCAATCCCACCCCCGCCCCCCGACCTCCCCCCCGCCCCCCCTCCCTCCTCCCCCCTCCTCCCCCTGCACTGAACCGAAACACGGCCTAGAGGTCGAGGAGGCTTTTTTCGTGCAGCGCTACCAGACGATTCTGTCGGGGTAAACACTCACAGAGTTAATGCGTGTTTACTGATGATGCTCGACGTGATCAGCGTTCGCCTCACATCGAATTATACGAACAAACAGAGCGGACGCGGCTGCAGGAGTGGCAAAGTCGTTATCGCGTAAGTCCTCTGCATCTCGGTTTGGAGAGATTCCCCAACAAAATGCATCACATGGTGCTCCAGTACAAATGGAAAAGCGTTCTTATCAGCTCGCCAGGGTCACCTGCAAGGTCACGAAAGCGCCACCTGCAGTTGGCGCTCTTTGTCAGTATTTCTTTGGTACAGCCACCGCTTTGGATTTTACGCCACAGCAAATGTTGTTTTTCACTTAGTTATGAGGAGGTACTTTGTGTTGAATTCATTACAGGCTCCTACTCCTACTAAAGATGTTCCCAATTTATACAGCTTTTTCATTTGGGTTAGTTTAAATTATGAGTCTTATTTATGAGGCCGTAATTATTCTCTCGAACACAAGTGGTTTCTTTCAAAATGTTTATTGAGCATCAACAAAGAAAGAAAATATTAAAGGGCTTACATAAGCTAAAAATCATTATAGTTGAACAAATCTCTCCATGGACATGATTACAAATTCACCAGCATGTGATTGAGCATCTTAAAATGGAATATTATGCCTACCAAGTCATCTTGTATTAAATCAAAAAAATACATAAAAATTACTAATGTAGAGAATCTTAAAAAAAAAAAAAATCACAAAAATGAAAAAAGCCTGTGGATTGTTTGGCTGCTCTGGTTGTTCCGGTGAACGTGAAGTATGAGTCTCTGTTTACACACATAACGTAGGAGCAGCTATTTATTTATGCATTTAATTGGATGTTTTGGGCGGTATAATCATTAATCATGAACAACTACATTGGCTTTTCAGAATAAAACAGCTGACGATATCCACAAATGCACACAATGCTTTTATAAGCCCTTTAACACTAAATTACAATTATTTTACAAAAAGGAGGAAACAGCAAAGCAGTATGTATACAGTATGACCTTTTCTCTTTTTCCGTTAGTAAATATTTCATTTACAAGGGACACAAGTTCACCAGTTAACCCTCAGGAAAAAATATCTACAGCACTGTTCTTCCTTAGAACTAAGCTACTACATCTTAAAGAGATCAGGGCTGAAGGGGACGAACTAAGTGTCACTGGCAGCTGTGTGGAGATGTTGTATTGACGGCTCGTAGTCGATCACCAAGCATTACCAGGTACAATGGAACGCTTCACACAGCTGAGAGAGAAACTTAATGCACTACGGAGTCCTTCTTAATCTCCTAGAGGACGGGATGGATTTCCGAAATTGTACCGAGCGAGAGTCTGTTGTTCTAATCAGGGGGAACCCTCTTTTTTTTGGGGGGGAAACCGTTTTTTCCCCCCACAATCACCATTTTTTTTGTGTCATTTTGTATTATTATTATTATTATCTTTAATTCTAAAAAGGTGGGAGCGTCCATAAAAAAATCCATTACTTGGGTTGAAAGGAGGTGCAGGTGGTATAAACAGTTCAATATCTGGTGTACGGCTGATCTCTGTAAACCCCCTTGGCTGTTCGTGCCGGCGGTGCCTTGGCGCGGCTGTTCGCCCACTCTTCCAGTCCTGGTTCAGGAGAAAAGAGCAGAAGCAGATGGGAGGTGGGGAGGGGAGGGCGGGGTGGGGGTGACAGAGGTGTTATTTTTTTTTAAATCATTCACCCGTAAAAATAAAGCCGTCCATAAATACTGAAAATATTTATCCGAGGATAAACAGGAGGCTGAACGTCTTGGGAGCGTCGCATCCGGGCCGGCGACGCAAACGTTGACTCACGGCGAGCAGCTCGACTCTCGGGGGAGAGGAGAGGAGGGGGAGGGGGGGGGAGGGGGACGCATCTCAGGTGAGGGAATCAAACAGCCACTCGGAGAGGACCTGTTTACCGGCTTCCAGCAGAAAGGTCACGATTACCGTTGTCGATGTGAAAGTGGCGCTATCGATGGGACCCCCTTTGTGTGATCTTCAGGCCTGCCCGGCGCCGAGGCTCAACAAAGGCTTGTGTCCCCCCCCCCCTCTCTCTGCTGACAGCGCGGAGGCGACGGCCCTTAATTAAAGCCGTCACCCTTTCCACCGACGGTCACTTTGAAGAAGCGGGCCGAGGTAACCTTGCGTTGCGAGAACAAGGCCGCGCATCAGCGCTGTTTATCCGTTGGCTTTGAGCTGTCGCGCTCGCCGCCGCGTGACCCGACAGCCGTTTCCTGTGGAAACAGGCCCGAGCTCTAATGAGGTTCGTTTGCTTGAGTTTTTGTCTGGCTCCCGGAAACTCATTAAAATCTCTAAAAAAATGAAAGGAACACTACTTTTATATTGCTTTTTAAATTTTTAATTTAATATAAAGCTTTTGGCTCAGTCGACACAAACACAGAGAAAAATCCGACACAATTCAAATCCACGATGTGATCTTAAATATAGATTTAATTTAATTTTTTTAAAGAAATAATAATTAAATAGTACACCTCAACCAGGACCTAAATAAATGTTAGAGTTCATCTTGTATTTTTAGGTTCACAGAGGCTGCAAATAGACTTTTAGAGACAGATCAACCTTGCTGTGATGATTCAAACGCACTGTGCAGCAGATACGTCCTTGGCCCACTTCTCACTGCGTCTTTAGGTGTCCAACCGCAGTGATTCAAACCGCTCTCCACGCACAGATACAAACACATTTCTTTGTGTACTCGTACCGTGATAACGAGCTGCTGGCTAATTCAGTTCTAATGCCTTTGCACAAACACACGTGTATGCTGACAAAAACGCGAATAAGTATATAAGAGTAGAAAAAGCACCGAGGCGGTTTGGACCACCGATCAACACGAGTCACCATCATCATTAGTATTAATGCTGTGAAATAAGTGAGCAGAGCTCCAGTTTCCAACAGTCGACCCACCACCAACTTCTGAAAGGAGCCGCTTCCACCTCTGGGTCCTAACAGGCCGCCAACGGCCTCCTAACAGGCGACTGGTGAATCTCTGAGTTCTTCCAGGCGGCCGCGTGCTAAAGACTCAGCACGAGCTGCCGCGACATTCACAGAGAAAACGCTTTTAATGAAAGACATTTTGAAACGTACCCTTTTGTTTCTTTTGGAAAGGTATTTTCCTGCTACGTTGTTCTACGGATCCGATAACATTTGATTAGTGAAGAAGAACTTGAACATGTGAGTTGTCACGGCGTGTAGAAATGATCAGTTATCTGGGCCGGAGTCAGCGCCATTCCTCTCCTTCAGCCTCTGAAGCAATTTATTCGTTCATGATGCATTTTGACAACAGCCTTGTTAAATCCAGCACAAGCGGTTAAGCTACAGTGGTGTCAAATAAAACAGCGTAGATACTGAACTTTTTTTTTTTTTCCCAAAGACATCACCCAATTACCCAACGGCTATGAAGACTGAGGCCAGTCAGGAACTGTGCATCCATGTTATGACGCTCGACACAAGAAAAGGTCTACAACTCACCGTACGAATCGTACGACTCCTCGCTGTGTCCGTATTCATAGTAGTCATCCGAGCTGTGAACAGACAACAGGCGCAAAGGTGAGTCAGAAGAAATCCAAACGTCCAGTGTCAAGGCAACTGATGGGAGAGCCTCAAGGTAACATTTGCTCAATGCGCACACCGTGCTGCTGCAGTGGCAATGAAGAAAAACACACAGAAATACAAGTCAAAAACAAAGAAAGGGCAGCTTTCAATCACTTAAAAGTTCTGCCACATTTGCGCTCTTACAAGGCAATTTCCTCCACCCTATTTCTGCACAAACTTCAGTTCCACGCCAGCGCATATGGAGATCTACGGCGAGGTGGCAACTTTAATGAAAAATAAAAAGACGGGGAGGCGAGTTGCATCGCGGTTCATTTCGCGCTTACTTATTTATTTCTTTTTCATTCCGTATATTTGCGGTGGGAGATGCTGACAGAACAATCCCGCGTCGGTACCATTCGGTAACACCGCTATCATCCCAGAGAGGTAATTCATCATAAGGCTGCCACTGAGCCGACACCAACGCCATCACAGCTGGGTCCCTCCTCCGCCCCGGCTGTCACTCAGCCTGTCAGCGACCCGCGTCACCTCTCCGCTCGGCGGATTAGGGAGCCGAAGGCACCATCTCCAGCCCCCGACACATCAGCATCGGCACCGCCCCGAGCCGCCGAGGGCAAAGAGGCGCCGGGAACGACGCCCCGCTGCGGATGCAACGCATCGGAGTAGCTTTTTTTGTTTTTTTGTTTGTTTTTTGCAGTGTGATCTCAAAAAGCGCGCTTTAATTCTGTCGGCAGCTTCCGTTTAGCGCTTCATAAAGAAAAGCTGCACAGCGATTACAGGTAATTACCGTGTAATTTTAAGCTTCATTTGTGTACTCGAAAACAATCTGAACCTGTAAATTATTGCCACATACTGAACTCCTATTGCCCTGCGTTGTGTTTGCAAAGAGGCAGAAAGAAAGAACACATATGAAAAAACTGGGGAGGTCAACTTTATTTCCAAATGGCAGCAAAAGAAAGTGAGAAAAAATCGTTTTTCTTGTATTGCGGGTGAACTCATCCTTCCTTTTGGCAGCCTTCCAAAACCTGATCAGCAACGGCATGACGAACCGTTTGTCTGTTCCGTTGTGTTCTGCCACAGTTTCTTGGTGCGGATGAACAAAGGCGACAGTGGGCCACTGGAAGACAGTGGGAGGAATTCGGCTTTAAGAGGACTGCGGCAGCTCAGTGAGACGCGAGGAAGCTTCCCTGCAGAGGCTGGAGGCCTAAAGCCAGGCTGAGCCCACATGGTGCACGGTCCACAATTCAACCACAAACAATGCCGAGCCTGCAGGAGCGAAACCGGGCTCCCTGGCAGACTGCGACCAGGAAGCGAGGCCAGAGGGGGCTTTGCAGTTGTCAAGTCGCTGCGACGTCCTTGACGCCGTCTCGCTGGACGAGAGAGACGTGAGGGGGGGGAGGCGACTGAAAGCATGCTTGAGATCGTCAGGTTGTTGCCCCCCCCGAGACAAGACCTGACAGCAGGCCAAATGGTTTGATTTCACGGCAGAATGCGGGAGCGTCGCCTCCGAAACGCACATCAATTTTGACAAACGGGAAAAAATGGACTTGCCACAATTAACAGGTGCTTGCAGACGTGTCGGGGAGGTGTGTGAAATATTTGGGCGAGCTTTCCTTTCCGGCTCAATTCAACAATAAAGAAAGCACTGAAATAAAAGTAGGATGCTGCACAGACGTGCTCACTGCATTCGTCTCCACTGTTTACCTCATAAACAGAGTGTGGAGAAGCACTCGGTTTCTCTGTTGCTAAAGGCAGAACAGGACCAGTAGTTGTTCGGTGCCGAGCTGAGAGCTTCCACTGCACACTTTCTCTTTTCACAAAGGAGGCGAGCGCAACAAAAGCTGGCGCCTCTAATTTCTGAGGTGACGTTTTATCAATATCGCTACACAACGTTCTCTCTGTTGTTACTTTCTCCTCTCAGTTGCAGAGACCGGTGAGTCTTGAGAGAGACGCGTCCTGAAGGTCAAAGACTCAAGTCAAAGTCTGCATCCAAATGTTGGATAGCGCACTGCCGCCCCCAAAGCACTGTAGTGCCCACATCTGGAATTTAAGCATTTAAAGTATAAATATATTCAATACAAAGTACAGCAATGTCCCAAAACAATGATAGAATCCCCCGGGGGGGGTTGGGATTCTATCATTGTTACTTGGCAATTTAGATGGGAAATTCCTTAGTAGCTCATTATTGTCTCTGCCAGGAGAATCCCGCTCGTCAAGAGGAGCTGTTGTGTGCGTGTCCGTCCACGGACAATCTCTTATTTAGCTGCAGTGGAAACACGGCCCGTTTGCATCGCCCGTTTGATTCCCCCGTCGCATCGCCCGTTTGCATTGCCCGTTTGCATCGCCCGTTTGCATCGCCCGTTTTCATCGCCCGTTTGCATCGCCCGTTTGCATCGCCCGTTGCATAGCCCGTTTGCATCGCCCGTTTGCATCGCCCGTTGCATCGCCCGTTTGCATCGCCCGTTTGCATCGCCCGTTGCATCGCCCGTTTGCATTGCCCGTTTGCATCGCCCGTTTGCATCGCCCGGCACCGGCGGAGAATTAGGAGTAACACACACGTCGTTTTCCTTCTATTGCTAACGGCGGTTGGTTTGTTCACCCACAGCTGAGTGGATCGCTGCCACCGTCTCTGCTACACGGGGAGACGTCTCCCTGAGTTTAATTGCCTTTTTTTGGGGGGGGTGGCAGGATTGCGTGGTCGTGTCACATGACAACTTCAAGCTTGTTGACAGATGAAGTTAACTCGCAGCTCGATGCAGGCCTACTCTATACAAGGCTGTTTCATCATGTAGATGAAACATCCACGGCACATCCTCCAGTCAATGGCTTTATTTGAAGTTTTCTGGTTCCTCCAAAATTAAAACCTTCCAAAAATGAGACGGACCAGTCGCCAAGTTGGCAGTATGAGATAAAAGGAAACTTCAACCTGAAAAAAAAAAGCCTTCCCACTGCCTCGTACGCTCCACATTCATCCTCACTGACTCCAGCGTCTCCTTGTCAGAAGTGCACAGCTGGTTGCGTGGACATCAGGACGCGCTGGGGGTTGCCTGGCAAGCGCCGTCATACGTGTGAAAATGCCTTTGACTTTGTAAATAGGTCAGCTGCTGATTTGACATTCGTTAGAAGAAGGCCTCCGGGTCGCCGAGCACACGTCTGTCTACAGCGCCGGCGTGGAGCACGGGAGGCGAGCCGAGGAGCGCGTCCCCTCCGTCAGGCGTCTCATTCCAGGCCTACTTCTCCAGCGGTGAGGACCCCCGCCTTTCCGCCGTATCTGTCATCTCTGTAAACGCTTCGTCTTAAGCACTGACGTTGGCGTTCCCGGGGAACACGGCGCAGATGGCGGTGTTAAATCTGAATGATGTAGTGCACGTCCCTGGTGGACTTTGTTTTCTCACACCGCCATTACTCTTCCAGTCCTGTGTGATAAATTTGATGAAATCTTAGGAGCGCATTACGAGGGCCCGCAGAGGTAACGTGCACGGAGGCGGCTGTTTTGCTATCGAATACACAGCTTTCATTTAACTTGTTGAGAGTGCAGTTGAGTTGAACGGAAACCTTGTGGGGAAAGAGTTGGACTTCATTGGGCAAAATAACATATATGTTTGAAGCAGATGTTTTTGGTGTGAAAAAGTCAAATGCGTATGAAAATGGCCGACTAAATGCTCTGATTACAGCGACTCAGCGACAATACAACGGAAATGACTACGAACAAAGAAAAGAAAAGGTAGCAGCCTTTTTTCTAACCGTCACATCATTTCAAATGGAAAACCCTCCTCATAGACAGACGGGTGATTGCTCAATGTGGTGGCTGATTGCAAAGCTATCTCCAATGCTGACCCCCTGCTGAAGAATCACAAAGGGCGAAAGAATAGCTTACAGCAAGAATCTGACTTCGCAAATGAGTCTTCTCTCTAGGTTGGAGCAGACCATTTGCGCCGCTTACTTCTTCTTTTTGGTGGGCCGAGTACATAAAACCCGGCTTCCAGTTGTAAACATGTTTGGGTCGTTACACTGAGATTACATGGAGCCTGTGAAAGACATTACGTCTTATTGAAGGAACGCTACATTTGCAATTTACAACACGCCACCTTTTGTCTCCACAGAACGAGAGCGGTAAAATCCCGCCCTCTCTTCCGCTCAGATGGTCTAATTCCCGCCACAGCAGCTGTCACTCATCCTGACAAGCTGTCTACCTTGAAAAAAGAAAAAGTGTCTAGGTACACAGTAACCCGCGAAGCACCGTCGGCATTTCGGAGGCAGGCAGCTAACAGAACCGATCTGTTCTCGGAAGAAACACAATCCTGATATTCCCATTTCGCTAAATGGGTGTTGTCTGCCGCGGGGCCCCGACACAACAAGCGCATTTCAGAAAAGAAGGCTCATCAAATGCGCTGCATCAGTCCTGCATGGTTCTAAAGATACCAGATATCTCAGGCCCCAGGGGCTGTCCCAACGGAACATAAATCTAAGGGTACATGGTGGCGGCGTTGAAAATGACAACAGAAGAGACGGGAGGTTTGTGTGCGCGCGCGTTGCCGATGGGCTTCACTAGTTTTTGGGGCTCTTTCAAGAAATCAATACCAAAACGTTACATTACGAAAGCCAGAAAGCGACCGCTCCTCGTCTGTCCTCGCCTGTCCTCGTCTGTCCTCGCCTGTCCTCGTCTGTCCTCGTCTGTTCTCCTCGGTGCTCCTCGCTTGTACTTAGATTTACAGCCGTTCCTCAGGGGGGCGACTGCCCTTTAAAACACTGTCACACAGCTATCGTTGTGCCCCTCCGCCTCCCCGCCCCGGGCCCCCCGGGGAGGGATCCTGCCCTGCGACGTGGCGCACCGCAGCAAGACGCCAGGGAAGGTGCGAGGTGTCGGCAGCCGGGCAGCCGGGCCGCCGGGCGTGAAATAACGCTTTGGTCGCAGGCGACCCGCGAGGGACGACCTCGCCGCGACCCCTCCGAGTGTCCAGCCGCGGCCGTCACCCCCCTCCCGTCTTCTCTCCGCTGGTGGAATTAGAGATGCTCTCCACACAAAAGCAGCCCCCCCCCCCCCCTTTGACCTCGGCTCCGGATCGGTACCCGAGAGCTGCAGACTACGATAACTCCCCGCCGCCGTCTCCGTAAAAATAAGAAGAGAAGACGTCTGGGAGCGCCGTGCGGTACAAACGCGGTGAGGGGACGCTGACCTATAACCCCCGGGGGGGGGCCGCAGCTCGCTTCTGAAACATGTAAATGCTGCAGAACGTCTTCACGGCCTCCGAAAGCAGCTCTTTAAGTTAAGCCGCATGTCTTGTGGTTGTGAGTGACTAATTCTCCTTTCAAATTGAATCGCGTCCAAACTGCTCAGCGCTGGCGGCCCCCGTGTGACAGAAGGTGCACGTTAGAGGGACACAGGTTGTCTCGTCTCGTTTGTCAGGGGTTGTTTCTTTATTGGCGTTAATAATGATGCACTTCGACAATTTGTAGCAGAGAAAATGGAAATGTTGTGAGCCAAACAGGGGTAGTAGCATTCAGTAATAAAGTAAATGTTAAATGTGGGTTTTTGATCTGCAATTACAGCATTTAAACGCTGACTGGCAGCCAGCATATGGTTTTAAGGAAAACAAGTACAGTCAAACTGCGATGCACTGATAGTATTTAATTAGATACAGCTGTTAACTGTGTGACGGTTTACAATCCCAAAATATATCTTACGGGTAAAAATTGTTCTCTCATCTCACTCTCAGGGTGTAGAATAGAATGTGTGGTAGCGCTCCTCTGCATCGAATACCAAGAACAACTCTTTATCGCCTGGGTGGGACGCACGTCGGCACGTCGGCACGTCGGCACGTTGGTACGTTGGCACGTTGGTACGTTGGCACGTCGGCACGTTGGCACGTCGGCACGTTGGCACGTCGGCACGTTGGCACGTTGGCACGTTGGCACTAACCTTAATCAATCAATAAACGGGAGTTTAGTGATCTTCACTGAGTCACTCCACGTTCCATCCGTGGCTTCTGTTCATGCAATATTGTGTTTATTCTAACCGTTACTAACAGGGCAACGCGATCTCCAAAACCTGTTCGTAAAAACGTGTACGGAAATCTTGAGCATACAAATTCGTGACAACACATAGGAACTGGCGGTGGTTAACCACGCCCCCTGAGTGAACAACATGGCGGACAATGTCGGATTCTTGAGTGAACGTCTCTCCGCCATGTTGGATTTTTGGAGGGGGTCAGGGTTGGTATTCTATTCTTACAAGTTAACATTGATTTCTCGTTTAAAATGCAATCATAACACGTTTATTTTACATGGTTAGACTTCAAGAAGTGTGTTTACGGGGCGCAGGTCCCCGTTCACTTTGAATAGGGCGACGTCATCAGTTGCCAGTCCGTATTTATTTCGGATGTATCACTACGAATTTGTATGTTCAAGATTTTTGTATACACATTTACGAACAGGTTTTGGAGATCAGGCTTAACAGGGAGGACTGTCCCACAACACCAACGACGAGGGAATCTTCAGGGTCTGGTTTCATGAAAAGAGGATGCGATGCTGTCGGCGTACGACGTATTTGCAGAGAATGCTGGACACTCAAGAGGAAAAAACAAAAGATGGGCCTTTTTTTTAATAGTTAAGTATGTTTGGCTGAGAGGAATATTTTGGACGATCTTACTAGCCCACTTTCCAGCTTTCTGACTGCTTGTATTGCGATGAAGGAAGCCTGTTTGTAGTTAGTTCATCGTCTAACAAATCGAATGGCCCAAGGCCTCAAAAAACGTCTTTTTCCCAATATCAAGAATCAACTATCAGATACGGATTCAGAGCCCCCGCTATGGTGAAGCTCTGTTCCACCACCTGAAGCTGAATGCACATCCTCTATTTGGCGATGATTAAGGTGTCAGCGAATCCGCCGATGCAGCATGACAATCTTTTTAAGACTTCTTGTCTTAAAAAGATTGTCATGCTTTCAAACCCGCCGCCTCCTTCCCCCTCCTGTTCACAAACGGCAGGCCCGTTCCCAGCAGGGTAATACCCTGACAGGGAGACTGTAAATCGTTCTCCTGCTTATCCTCCGGCAGCTGAAATCCTTCCACGCGGTCGGAGCTCAGATTGGTGGCCGGCAGCTCCGTCGGCTTCTCGCACCAAAACACACACACACACACACGCGTGGACACACTGTCCTCGCGGCGCTGCTGCAGCTGGGTCCCGCCACGTCTCTCCTCGGGCTCGGGGTGGAAATAGTGCACCTTTTGTCCATCAAAAAAACTAACTAGGCTTGTGACTGTGTAGTGGGGGGGGGATTATGTTGCAGTATAGATTAGTAGCTAAAATGCAATGACTAAATGTAATACATGGATAACCTGTTTTGCAATCATTTCATTGTGTTGTCCTTCCGTTAAGTGACTGTAGAGGAAAACAAAGGGCAAACAGAGAGAAAATGCCAAACAATACAATCAATCAATCAATCAATCAATCAATCCAGAGTTGGTCAGGTGACAGTAAATATTGCACAAAGCGAATGCGGTGCACTTGCACAATGTGAGCCTGACCACCATAACCACGGTAACCAAAAACACCCCGACCACTATACGAGAGGATGCTTATGAAACAACTGGCTGCAGATTCCTAAAGCGAACCCGCATCCCCCCCGGCGAGCAGAGCACTACAACCATCAGTGTGTGTGTGTGTGTGTGTGTGTGTGTGTGTGTGTGTGTGTGATGTCGCCACAGAAAGAGAGATGAAAAAGATGGATGAAGCCCGGATGACATCTTGACACCTCCACAAGAGAAAACTTTGACCACCGTGTTCAACGAAAGCCAAAGAACAGAATTATTTTTGTTATTTTGTTCTGACGGTTTTTATCTTTTCAAGCTGCAGCCAATAAAATCTCATTTTTTGACACACTAAATGCTGCAACAATGACGTTTCAGCTGGTGTGCTGATGACGTGGGGGGGGGGGGGGGGGGTCACTAATGCACCGAAGAGAAGCCTTTGACCTTGTGTGGTTTGTAGTAGAGTGTGATAGCTCCCTGGATGTAAGGAAATCAATATTCTGCAGTTAGCTGCGTAAGACTCTTTGTTAAATGGATCAATGTATCACTAATGCTGCTTATTTTGCATTGACATAAAAATGAGTAAAATGTACCTTTAGCCAAATATATTAAAAGTGTAATGAAATCAAAGCTAGTTATGTTTGGCATCATGAGCTCGTGAGACAGCACTGATTTCTCCCTTGAATCAATAACCTCGCTGTCCGAACGATCTTTTCAACCCTTTTAAAAGTTAAGTTAGTGTGAGTCAATCTTAAGAGACAACTTAAAGGTCAGTTAAACAATTCACACTTCACAAAATGCTTCATTAACACAGAATGTTCTTTGGAGTTACAAGCAGGGCAGAAAAGGAGCATAAATCCCCCCTAACAGCTCACGCAGCATAATCCAGCTGTTCGCAAATCTCAAGCTTACCTCACGTTACCTCACTATTCACCCGAATGGGCAAACTGCAGCGGATTTTCTGCCCTCAGACTTGGCGAGACTTAAATATTACTCTTTTTTTTTTAAACACGGCCCTCCTTCAATGTGTTAGTCCTGCTGTTCTCCTGTTGCACTGGCAAGGACTCCAAAGGCAACTACAAGGTTAGCCCGGTTGAATTGAGTCATTTATTCTTCATTAGCGCCCTCAGTCGCCGCCTTACGAGGTAGACCGAGCTAAAGAGCAGCACTGAAGTGCTAACGCTAGTTAATTATGTGCTAACCTACTCTACTTGTGTGAGCTCCACCTCTTTGCGTGCAGAAATCTTTCCAATCTCAACCAAAGGGCTGAACATGAAGAGAAACTGAAAACCTTTGCGTTGATTGACTTGCTGGACTCCGCTTTGCTACGATTGGCCGTTCGAATGAAGGGGCGGGACTTGTCAAAAAGGCTCAAAGCAATTAGGAGGCGAACTTACTTTTGTCCTTGATTGCTGTAGTTGTTGTCATACGATTCATATCCTTGGTCCTCATAAGTTGTTCCGTACTCATCGTCATATTCCTGAAGCGACAAAGAGCAAAAGGCAACCGGTTACATGTGGCGCAGATGTGGCGCAGATGTGGTGCAGCCTGTTGAAATGAGGAGCAAAGAGGTTGAGAAGGCTTGTGTTGGATCAGAGCTGCTGCGTTTGTTTACCTGGGAACAATTTCGACATCATGTTCCCAAAGCATCACACTCCACTGTGGACATTTTCTTCCCTAAATAGCACTTTGCTGAAGCCTTCTTCTGAGCACGGACGTGGCTCAAACTGCTGCATCTGCTGCGGCTGTCAAAGCAGCTCATAATGCAGCACCGCCGACGCGGCGGCCCGGCCCTTCGTCTCCGCGGCGGCTGACCGACGCCGGGACGTCGAGGCTCTCTCGCCGTGGCAGCGTTTCATCGCCACCTCAAAAGGATGAGCCTTGAACATCTGTTTGCGCTCCAGCAATCTGCCCCCGTCCTCCCTCTGCACTCCACCCCGGGCTCCCGCCAAGAGGAACATCAAAGCGAAACCAGCGCCGCACCCGTCCTAATTTGGGATAAATGGGACTTATGTTCCACAAAAGGCGTCGACCCCTAGCGAGACGTCTCTCATCCCCCCGCACGCTCCTCGGCTAATTCCATCTGCCCCTGATTTGCATGCCGGAAAAAGAATGTCAGTGAGATCTAGCACCAGAAAGAAAACGCTCATCACAGCCGCGTAATCGCCCAGGCCCTAATTCCTGATTAGAAACATGCATTTGCTAAATGGCAGCTTCTGAATTGACCCTTTTATCTCTAATCCTCCAGAACAGAAGTACGCGCGAAGACGTGAAGTAGAACTCTCGACAAACAGGCCGGCATGTTGTACTAATTTCCTAAATGGGGGGGGGCGCTGGCAGGTACCTTTTAAGAATCACTTTCATATGCTCAAGCCTCTCTTTGGTCATCCCGCCGGGTGGCTTTTTAAGACTCGGTGTTGTTTGTTCTTCCTTTGTTGTTTGCGTGTGAGGGGGGAGTTTGTTCTGCTTCTGTGGAGGTCCGTCTATTTGTCTGGAGGGAGCTTGAGGGTGGGGGAATATAAATCCCCTCCTCGCATTTGTAATTCTGCAGTTTTACAGAGTCAGCGATCCCCCAGGCTAATGCAGGGCCTAAGTTTAGTCAACAACTGTGCGTTTGAAAAAAAAAAAAAAACGAAACCCCTTGAATGCTTTTAAAATCGGGAAGGAGAAGCCGAAACAGTGTCATTTAAGGGATGTAATTAAAAGCATTTATATTGTTCATACTGTAAACGTTGATTTGCTATTTCCAATCATAACCTTTTTACTGCTTAATGAGACATTAAGGATTGTGACAAGGCAATTTAAAAAACAATTCCCGGGAGGAGAATTTGATGACTTTGGAAACTTGGAAGCTCAGAGTAGTAATTTTGCTCGTAGTGTTTGAATAATAAATATCCCAAAAAACCATTTCACTGCAAGATTTACAAGAAGAAAATACGGTGCGGTGAAGGTTGTGCTGATGAGGTTTACACTTTGCTCTGCTTTGCATCTGTGTGTCCAGCAGGAGGATCACTGGACACATGGAGGGACATATTCTACACAGTAATTAATTAAAGTGACGGGTGAAAGAGAGTCTTCATCATCACATCGTAAGTAGATTTATTTAACTCTGTTCAAGGTGGAGCGTTTCAAATTTAATATAATTCTAGACAGTTCAATGAAAAATGATGCCTCTCTGTCTAATTATTGAGTGCAAACTGAAACATACTTTACTCTAAGGGCATCAGGTTATCATCAAATGTATCTTACCCATGAATTATTGTTACATTGGTATTTTTAAGTAAAAAGCAATGCAACATACACTGTTTGCTGAAAGCCTTTGAAGCTGTTTCAGCTTCTACACCTCTGAAAATAAAGTCTTTGTTTTTCTCAGAAACCAACCAGTTTTGTCCCAAAGCTCTGGGGATCATGTATATTTAAATAAATGTAAATGTTGTTGCTATTATACCTCCTGCAGGCTGGAAATAAAGAGGGCGCGGTTATGAAAATTGAATGATAAGAGCCGCGTAGCTGTGATCGTGCAGGCAGCCTCAGATGTCGAGGAAAATATTTTTTCTTTGAGTACGAAAACACGAGGAAAGTCCGTATAATGTTCTATTCCAGACAATTAATAACAGAATTCTGTGAACAATCCGGTGACAGATTTTCAAAAGCTCGTCAATGAAACCTGACACAGGAAAAACACTTAAAAACTACGGAGACATTATTTATTGCTCAGCTGTGAGCTCGGTTCTTGGTTGTAATCCTGGTTGAAGGTACATCATGTGATCACAGGCATCCTACTTCCTGCCTGAGAGTTCCGTGGTTAAAGTCATACTACAATGTTTATTCAGATCAGGAGATGTTAATAAAATCAAGTTTTTCTCACTATTAGAAACCTGTTATAGGCGACAATGTTATTATTGTTGAAAATACATTATTATTATTCTTAAAGCTACCATGAAAAGCACTGGGAGGAAATAACTAACCCACAGGCTGTCCAGACACTCACAGTGACAGTAAATTGAAAAGTTAACATTGAAATGATTTCTCTGGGACTGTGAATGTCAAATATTATTCCGCAGGAAGTCATCCAGGCAGCAGTGACATGTGACGCTGTGTAGTGAGGCATTTGGGGGACGGTTCTCTTGGCGGTCTAAAAGCATTGTATCATAAATAGCTGCTGAATTACTGACGCCACTATTCTTTTAGGCCGACGGTCTGAGCAGACCGATTAGTTTTCAGCACGAGCCGCGAGCCATTAGTGTTAAGTTCGGCCTCCTCGTGTCTCGAGGACGACCGTCCTCAAGGTGCCGTCCACTCACAATGGACAACGCTGCCGGGCATTAGGGACCATATTAAACTTTAACAATGCCATGTTATTGCCATTTGTCAGAGCAGCTGCTCTTTAATCGAGTTACAAGCTCGCTGAGAGCGGAAAACATGCTCGGCTTTATAAATCCCACCGGCGGTTTCAAAATCTGCCTTTTCTCCGGTTTCTGACAGAAGGAAAAACAGCTTTAAAGTGGAAAGCTATTATAACATCTGATGCGTTCGCCGTGATACACCATTAACTGCAAATATCTCGGAGAGCACGATAGCGCGGCAACACCGCGGCCGACGCTGAACCGGATTAGTGAGACAGCGAGGGGTTGCGGGGTTTTGGGGGGGGGGGGGGGGCAGCTCCTAAGTGAGTCTTTCATTTGTATGCCAGTGGATGGCTGAGAGGCGTGTTGTTAAAAGATAAGGGCCGGCCTCTGAGGACTAACCGAGGGCCTGGCACGGCATGTCACGACAGCGCTATCACAGCCGCCGCACAATACCACAGCGTAACAGATACGGCGCCACCGACACCCCCGAGCGGGCTCCACGGGCGCGGGGATTTGTTCCCTGCCCGGTGTGCTGAATCCAAATGAGCTCAGCAACACGCCGTCCCCCCACGCCGGGAACCTTGCGGACAGCAGCGAATGCCGCGTGACCCCCACCCCGCAAAAGTGTCGCAAAGGGCCAACGAACGAAGCGGCGAAATTAAGCAAATCTAAAAGATGAAGAAAGGCCTCGTTCTTTTCCGGATGACTTGAGCACAAAACCGGCTGGTGAAAGAAAAGGAAACCTGCACAGCTGTTGCCACACGTTGCTCTTGAAGCCTGTGTGATGTTGTTGAGAGAAAACAAAGAATGCAGAATCTGTAACCCTCGGCCATCCGTCCTGCTCTGGAAAGCTTTCTCAAAGCCACGCGTCATTTATTCTGCTCTTCCTGCCAACGTATTTCAGAACGCTGAACAGGCTGGAATTTGCCGATGCTTTTTTCCGCTGCAGGGGTAGAAATGCTACTCAAGCTATCAGATTGAGGACGCCGAAGAGTTGGCCCATGCATCAAGTTGAAGTATCGCAAATCTGTGCACACTTGACGAATGTCTTAGCTTTCCTCAGTGTGTTTCTTCACCCTCTTTGTTTCTTGATCCCGGCTGAGTTTTGAATAAAGCTTATTCACACCCGGCAGGTATTATCGGGGGGGATTCACGTCATTAATGCATTAGCTCTGCAAAAACATCTGCACCAAGAAATAAAATGCAACATCACTGCCTCTGTGGTGGTTCTATGAAGAGATTCTATAAAATAAACATATCATACAAAGTTAAAAACTCTTGAGTCTACAGCCACTGTCAAGTAAACGCTCACGGCGGCATGCTAACGTGCTAACGTGCTCACAATAACATTGTCACCGTGATGCTAAACGGGTGAAATGTTTAAAGCGTGCTAGCATGACGACATTCGCTGATTAGCACTGAGCTAATCTAAAGGCCATTGGTTTTGCTGGTGAGCCAAAGCATCGGACAGAGTCAACGTGTCACCGACTGGCGGCTGTGAAAGCTCAGGCGACAGTCATCACACTTCACCATCTGCTCATCACGAATGTCAACACGCAATGTCTGCGCAGTCTCTCCTGGAGATGTTAATAGATTTCACTGCATAATTGAATAAAAAGAAGTCCATGAAACATTAAGATTCCTCCCCTGGGCAACATGAAGATATGTACCACGTTTCGTGGCGAAAAAAGGAGTCGGCTACACCCGCCAACGAACACCGCCATCTCTCGTGGAAATTAAAGATGATTCACACTTGCAAGAGAAGCAATTATTGCAAATCACATGTTAAGTCCCCCGTGGATGGGTTTCTTCTCATCTGCATGACGGGTCGTGCCTGCCACACCAGTTGGATCATGCTTCTTTATTGAGTAAAATCTCCCCAACCATTACTCCCAGTTCAGATTAAAAGTGATTCGAGCACGGAGCCTCGGAGAGCATGATTCAATTAACGATGCTTGGCCCTCCGAAGGGCTGGACATGCGAACACTCTGCGAGGACCCACAGGGGCTGAGAACGGATTACAGTATCTGGAGGATTTCAAAGTAAACAATACCAGCCCACGTGCATCGCACACTTCTTTGACTTCTCGCCCAGAAGAATTAAGCTTCTGTGGGAACAGAAACAAACACGCTTTACATATAGCTCTCGATTTAACATGAACATGGAGTCCTGGTACTTTCCTCTGACACTGATGAAATGAGAATTGCATCATGTGCAACTGTTCTCCAATGGGATTAGCAGCAGGTAAGAAACTGCTCTCAACGCACCTAATGACTTACATGAAATGAGATTTGGCTGCAGATCAGAGTAACAACTCAAGACTGATGGGCCTGCAAGGACCGGATGACGGGATAATGGCGTTTTGGGGATTTAGACCGGGGGAACAATTGGACTCAGAGTAATTTGATGCTACTACGAACAGATCAAAACAAGGGAGATTACGTCAAACGCGAGGCCCTCCGATCAAAGATGCCGCGCAGCCGAGGGCCGTCGCGACAAATTCACCGGAGAGGAAGAGGGACGCCTCCGGCTGAACAAATGTTTCTTCCCGTGGCGATGCCTCGCGGCAGAGGGAGAACGGCGGCAACGTGCACGAGAATGCATGTAAAGCAGTGACAAATGAAGGCAACAGATATAAAAACCTTGCCTGGCATTTCATTGATGAACACAAGAGCCTATTTGTCAGAGCCCGACGGAGAACACTTGTCCTGGGATGGTGATTTATTCTGATGATACACAGTCAAACACATTCAGCTTCTAATTTGCGGCGATGTGGTTCGATTTATCACGCGGCAGATGTTGGCGCCCTTTTTTTTTTTTTGCAGTTTACCACTGTGACAATGATGGGAAACAGCTGGCCTAGGAGTCATTCTCCTCGACCTCCACACATTGAAATTGCAACCTCTGAATAAACCTGTCAGATGCGGTTAGCTACGGGCTGCCGGGGCAATTTTCCAACGCAGGCCACCTCCTCTCTCCTTCTATCTCCTAAATATGCGATGTTGATGCTGAGGTCCATGGGGAAGTTGCCTCGACGGTGCAGGAGGGGGGGGGGGCTCTCTTGGCAAGCTCACAAAGAGTCGGCTCTAAGCTTAATGTATTCATCTCTGGCAGCTGTTGATATTACAGACAGGCTCCCAAAAGACTCCGTAGGTAAGCTAAAAGACCAAAGCAAAGATAATTCACATGCTGCTAACTCTTTATGGTGGGAGACTGGAATAAACATGGTGGAGTTGAACTCGTAAAGGAGGTTTAAGCTGCTGTTTTTGTGATTTAACGGACGTCTTCAGCCCACAACGTTGTCGTTAATTAATTTCATGTGGTCGTGCTCACAGCCGTCGTCACTGGTTACACGGCCGCTACGTCCATGGAGACGTCCTTGTTAGTAATTCCTCCGACCAATGACATCGCCTGTCTCTGTACGCGGATGAAAGAAGAAAACTGGGCGGGGTTTACACAGGAAGTCATTCATCGGTGCGCCGCTTGCTTTGGCTTGAAATTTACTTTATATCGGAAAATATTTATTTTTCATCATACTGTACTTTTTGTCTCTCTGTCTTTTTAAATATAAATGCAAGTTCTATGAAGATTTGTTTCCCTGGCTTCGTCTATGGAGGAAATGAACATAAAACAGGTAAAAACAAAGCTCCTGGTGCACAGGACGTGGTGGTGTGAAAGAAATCCAGCAGCGAGCGTTCAGCTGCCAGCCTGCTGTTCACTGACAGGAGCCAATAATCCAAATGAAATGACCAGTTGGGGAAAATCAAATTCCTCTGTTAAAAAAACACAATGTGCGTGTTGAATCTTGTGAAATAGAATATCGGTCTCATACTGACCCCCCAAAGCTGGACAGGCTTCAGACACCATTATTTAATGAATTACAATTCAGTAATATTTATTATCTGCACATTTATTTGCTACATTTTCCTTTACAAAGTGAAGAAGCGATTGTCGTGCAACGCATTGCACGTTTATCGCCCACTTCTGTGTGCATAGTTGTAGGTCTCAATGCTGCGGATTACAAAGGGGACCAAATTTAATTTAATTTAATCAGATTTAACGTGTGATTCAACTCAAGTTAAATCTGACACCCACTTCAGAGTGGATGCAAAAAACCCGAAAATGACCACATCTGAAACAGCAAAGGTTCACAGTTGTTAATCCACTCACATATTCGCCGTATGTGTCCTGCACTATCGGAGGAGCCGGCCGGTACCCGGCGGTCGGCGGGGCGCCTCTGGCTCTCTGAACCCCCCTCCCTCTGGAAGAAGGAGCCCGGATGGGCGGGGCCCCCCTGGGTGCCGCCCCCCGGGGCACGGCCGCATGAAGTGGAGGAACTCCTCCTCGAGTCCTGCAAAGGAAAAGGCACAAACACCAGGAAATGATGAAATCTGTGGATTCTATGATGGTGCAAACTATGTGTACATCGATGGGACGCATCGGGTAACACAGAGTGCGTCCCGTTTCTGCACGACGCGTCGATTTTTAAAGCATTAGAAGATACTATTACAAGGGTAGAATTATACATGATGAATATGAGCCGCCACTGCGTCCCAGCTCTTTATGATGAGGTGCTGCAGTTTATCATGTTTGGAGTCGAGCTGCCTCGTCTGCTTTCCCCTCCGGGTAGTGATTTCCCACGTCGCCCCGGAACGACTCGGTACGACCGCGGCGGCGGTGCATGCGATACGTTCAGCAGCAGGTTACATGTGTAGGTGGAGAGACGGAGGAAAAAAAAAAGCGAGGGCGGAGGACGAGTTCCTCCAGTCGAGAAGAGAGTGAGTCACGTCCATTACTCAAAACACGGCGCGTCTCACGGCCTGCGTATTAAATGGAACGCAGGAGACGAGCGGCGGTGGATATTTTCCTTCCTCGTCCTAAAACAACTATTTGCGGCCGAGTGGAACGCGCAGCCAGTTTTCCCCAGCGATGCTTTTGATACTCGGGTTTGAGTTTGGTGCAACCGCACATGTTTATGTGCAAAGGTAAGCGACGGATATGTGCAGCCATCCACGTGAATTAACACAGAACGCGGAGCAAAAAAACGCAGTGTAATCATTACGGAGGCAAAGTCAAGCTGCTCCGCTGGATATCAAAGGCGGTCTGACCTTGAGGTCCAGCGGTGTTTTGTTGGAGCTTTTAAAGCTTTAAAAAGCAGATAACTGATCTGAAGCAGCAGCAGAAAACCGTCACGGTCACACTGCCGGGTTTCTATGCTTTCCACAGTGGAACCGCACAGATTTGGAGTCCGGAGGAGAAAAAATTAAAGAAAAGTCTCGGAATTTTGTGTTTAAATGCAACGGCGGTGGATGTTCGCTGGACAGACATCGGACCGACCTCAAGCGGAGCACCGAGGGTTGATTTCGTCGTTAACAATCCACAGTAATCCCACAAGAGCGCGAACGCGTGGAAAGGTTGCAGACGACCTCCAGCTCGGGTCTTATTACGCAAGCGTGCGCGTTTTAATTAGAGCGAAACATAAAAACACGGCAAATGATACTGGGTGACCTTGTTTATCTTGTTCATCACTTCCATGAGAGAAGCGTTTTCCTTCATAAACACAGAGAACAAACGACCCGGCTCTCTTCTCTCTCTCCCTGCAACGCGGCGAGACGTAAAGTTTTCAGATGGCCGTGAGTATTTTTTACTTGCAGTGTTGTGGCGTCTCAGAGGAACGGGAATTAGTTTGTGTTCACAGGGAGAGTATTTGGGAGAGCGACTCGTGGAGATCATAAAGGCTTTTATGTGTTCTATCAGCCACTATTTACCATCACTTCCGTCTTTCTATTCAAGCTAATTGCTCTATTTAATGAGCTAGTGGTATATATATATATATAGATAGATAGACGGCAGGAGGTGTGGCCCAGGAATAATGAGTGATCATGAACGAAAAGGGGAGGAAGAGTGAGCTGGTCCCACTGATTGGACATCAAACTTTATTGACAGCTCTGTTTTGGCTCATTTGGTTTCTTTTGGCCGGCAGGTTCAGCAGATAACTTTCAATGAAAGAAGCACTACGTTGGTTCGTAGTTTAATGCCATTTATCTGTGGTTGCTGCCTTTCTTTGTACATTACATTACATTACATTACATGTCATTTAGCGGACGCTTTTATCCAAAGCGACGTACAGTAAGTGCATTCAACCATGAGGTACAAACTCAGGAGAACAAGAAACAAGAAAGTGCAATTTCCTCAAATAAGCCAATTTACAATTTGCTATAGATGAGTGACGTTACAAGTGCAATTTAAGTGCTACAATTTGTTCGTCTTTAGTCGAGGTAGTTCGTCTTTGTAGTTCCTGATGAGGTTTGCACGCCGTCAGCATGGCTGGTGTTTCTGTATTTGCTGCAAACAACTTTTCGTGGCTTATTTTAGGTTTTATTTCATTCAAATAATGTTGTATTATTATGTACCCGTGCACACCTGCGTGTGTAACAAGCTGTGCACAGCCATCCCAGCACCAGTCACTGGGACGTATCAATCATGCAATCTACTGATTTGTCATAAAGATTAGAATTGTTTGAGAAATAAGCACTTTGTTTCTCAAAGAGAAAACACAGCCTCAGTAAATCTTGTGTACTCAGAATCAATAATTTTATGAAACTCAACAGCCGGCCAATAATTGAGCATGCAAGCTCCGTCGCAGGATGAGTCCAGAAGAGGCCTGTGTATTGAGATGCTGCCCAAGTAAATCAGTGATGACGCACGCACTTTGCAGCCAACATTTGCACTGACACGTCCTGTGAACCGAGCCAACCCGGGCCACTTCTCAAAATGTAATGTCTTGTATTCATAAAAACCCCACGAAGGGATAGGTGACACTCGGTGCCAGTCAGGCAGTCGTAAATGGTCTTTAACCCTAAATACTGTACAAACACGGCCCTTCCAGTAGCTCCTGAAGCTGCAAAAGGACACACGCACCCACACACACACACACACACACACACACTTGGAGGCGGGTTACCTCGGAGGCCCTGGAACAGGTGTGCCTCTGGCACGGGCGGCCGGCTTGCCCCTCACCGACGGCACCTTGGCATCCTCCGAGCCGCCGTTCAGGTACGTGAGCTCCTGCAGCTGGGCCTGTCTGATCTCATCATTGTAATCCTGCACACAGGGAGAGGCCGGCGCGTTCACACACACACACACACAAACGCACCCACGGCAACCGGCTCGCTTTCAATCACACCGCATTAAATGACGCGCTCGGTCTCCGCGGCCGCAGCTCCGGGAATATCTCGCCAACGTGCTCTCCGGCGATGCCTGTGAAACATTCGGGATCGCCCCGCTGATAAAATCTCTTAGCTTTTGTCTCTCCACAGTCGCTTTTTGTCCACTAAATTCAAACACATAATTATCTTGAACCATGAAAAACGAGGGTATGCTTTTATGGCGCAGGTGGGAAGGGTTAACGCGGGAGGAGTTGGGGGAGGAGTCTGCCGGTAATTGATGGGGAGATGTAAATCTCCGTAGCTCTGAGCACTCGGAAGATCATGTATAATGAATGGAGGGAGAGTAAATAAGCTGCTTCCCGCTCTCGGATCGACAGAAGTACAGTGACAAAGGGAAAGAGCGAACGCACTGGTATCAGAAACTTCTTGATCTCCTCCAGAGCGTGACCCATCCTGGCGTAGGCCTCGGCCGGCGGGGCGAACACCTCGATGAGGACGTGCAGGTCTTCGTTCAGGTGGTGATATTTGGCCTCGCCGCTCTGCCGTAGCTCTTCTTCCTGATGGTACGGGAAAAAAAAGAAGAAAAAAAAGGGAGGGGGGGGGTTAGGCATCATATATCCTCCGCGAGTCAGCTGTCACCGTCAGCAACATTTGTCTTGTTTTTTTGTCAAGGATTTATCGCGGGGAGCTTCACACAATGAGGTTCGAGTCCTCGGTGCTGCAGAGTTTTGAGAAAAAAGACACACAGGAAATGTTCCTGATGTATATATTTGCAACAGCAGTCGTTCCTACATCTTTTCTGCTGCGGCTGTCACAATTAACTGATCACCTTTGTCGCCACGCAGCTGCTCGTCCTTGTAACAAATGCACGGATAAAGTGCGTCCTGTCGCGCACTCAATCATAAGACATGTTTCTATTTGTGTCAAAAGTAGAGCATTGTGATTCTGCATAAATGATGAATAATGTGCCAAAGCACTTGTTCAATTAGCTACCACAATACAATGAAAGAGATATTCAGCAAACGAAAGTCAAAAGGAAAAATAGGAGACGTCAAATAAGACATCAAACCCTCCTTTGACTGGGAAGTGATTTCTGAGGGAAATAAGTGCACAAAGACGTCAACACTCACCGAACTGCACCAACGAGACTAATTAAAAGATCTAAAGGCTTTTCGCCGTAAGAAAAGATAACAGTCTTAAAATAAATAGATCCATGCAACCCTACTCAAGCAAACATGTGGGCACTACTACTGAAATCTGCACATTTTTGGAGAAAAAGTCATTTGGAGCCGATACGTAAGGTGATGCCCTGACGTTTCCTTTTGCCAAATGTTTACGAGTCAGCGCCTTTCTTCGTGCACCACCAGCATGTAGACATGTTAATCTTATCAGCGAAGTATCTCGACATGGATTGGTGCCGATGTTGGTGAAAACATGTAACGGCTCTGGTAAACACCTGCCTTTTGATTCCAGGAGCTGTTGGATGGATTAATATGGAATTTGGTTCTGCGATTTTTACTCACAGATCCACCATAATGTCTGTGGCTGATGGGGATGTCATTCAACGAAGACATTTCATTCCAAATAACAAATGTCAAAATCAAGGGGATGTTCAAAAAAAAGTCAGACACGTCGCTGAAACGTTAAACAAAAACAACCGCTGCACCAGACTTTTAACGCAACATCTGGATTTCACGCATTGCATTAAAAACCTCAAACTGAGTAAAATGTCACTTTACCATTGAGGTTTTCAGTAACAAAAACCAACTTCATCCTATTTGCTTTTAACTACAGCATTATTTCCTCAACACGTTAAAAGTTACAGATGTTTAGCCTCAAACGGGTGTGGTTGAACAATGTGAAAGCATGGATGTCTTGTTTAGTACTAAAACCCCTTCTCGTCTGCAAAAAAGCGCATCGAGTTTAGACTGCAGCAGAAAAACAAGCCGCGTGAACAGCGATAGGCCGCTGAGGCGCGACAGAAGCGGGCCAGCACAATGTTATTGGTGGCGAGAAATGGGACAGCGAAACCCCCCAAAACGTCTTCCCACCGCGCGACACAGGTGGGGGCGGCCCCCGTGTCTCGTCTTCTCTGGGGCCTCTCCAATGGCTGCCACTTCCCCTTCCCCTTCTCCCTCGCCAGCACCACGCCAGCCAGTCTCTGATGTCACCTAATTATAAATAACCTTCTTTTAAGAGTGCCGGGGGTATGGTAATGATATGTTAATTCCCCCCACAAATCTGTGCTTTACGAGCTGAGGGCGCCCGGCGATGACGGAGCCGCCGGTGTCGAGAAGGTAGCGCGAGAAGGGTGTTAGAAAGAGACGAGCGCTTGCAGACTTGGCTCTCGTCTTCCCTTTCATTTGGTTTCAGGGCACATTTGCACGAAGAAAAGAAAAGATGAAACTGTTAAATAAATAACGGAAGACCGAGACTACGGTCACAATGCGTCGTCTGAGGCGTTTTACTCCGATCTTTCCATCTATAAGGTCTATTTAACAGGCAAAGGTTCACTGTTATACCCAGTGCATATGTCGTTTCGTAGCGAACCGGCCTGTATGCGGGACCACGTCACATGCACGTGATATCATAACAGCAGACTTCATACACAGCGCTGATAAGAAGCCTCAGTAATCCAGCAGAGTCCTATAGCGGCTAAGCAGCCCACGGTGGGAGATTACAGCTGTCTGTATTTCATATCTACTGGCACAATCTTCCTCCCACTTTTTCTCCCCCCCCCCCCATAAATCTGCTCATGAAAAGCCGCTCACCCTGGAAACGGGAGGCCGGGACGCCGCGCACGCTCCTGCGCGCTCGGGCACAAACAACGGCGTCGAGCTCGGAGCTTTTCTCATACAAGTCAAATTAAGGGGAGATGTTGGAAAAAAATGGGTCAAGTTCTACCAGTCGTCGGTAGGAACTGCGTGGCGTTGATCCTCGTCGTCTTAAACCTACACTGGGACGAAATCTACAGGCTCTTCACAGGTGACCAGTAACATCGATTCATAGATGCTTTCATTTACTTTTAAAGCGGAGAGCGGACTGAAACCGGTTCGTGTCTCCTCAGGAATCCGCCCCTGTACACAATCTCGATCTATTCACGAGCGCACACAGCTGGGGTTTGTTTCTTTTGGTGCAGGACTTCTCACACATGCCGAGTCGTGCTCTCAGGCAACGCGGCTATTTCAGCTCGCAAGTAAACCCCGTGCAGGACTCGCCAAAAGTGACACAACGTGATTGTTGCGTCTATCAGGGAAATTAAAGCGGGTCCAGGGAGGAAAATGGGTGAGTCAAACATCATGGCGCTAACGGGGGGGAGGAGGCCTTTCAACCCCTCCTTCATCCCCTTCTGGTCAACACGAGACCAGCAACGTATTCGAGCATTTACGCCAGTTCTTTGCAGCGCCGACCGCCAAAATAAAAGCTTTAAAAATGGAGTTTACTGAATATCGTTTCATCCTCCAACACGTACATTATGTTCTAGTTCTCCATCAGCAGTTTTTCATCATTAATTAAAGAGAGAAACGTGCCTTCAAGGCGCCTCACGCGGAGCATCGGCAGTAGAAGGTTCTTTTGCAGTGCAGCGAACCAGACCCGTGACCTACGCGGGGGGAATCTCGAGCGCTCGAAAACATGATGACACACGCTGCGCTGCTGGAAACAGAAAGTCAGCAGCCGGCTGAAGATGAAGTAGGGCTTTTGAAGCGAAGGTGTATCCTTCTTCCCGCCCACTTAAAAAAAAAAAAAAAAAAAGAAAAAAGAAAGAAAGAGGGAGAGCGTCCCGGACAGAAAGCTGTCAGTCATAAATCCTGCAGCGGGTTGGCGCAGACAGCTGAGGGCTGCCGAGGTCAGCACTTCTCCGTGACAGATCTCTCCTTCAGGTACTCCAAAGCAGTCGGGCCATCAAAGGCAACACAGTAATCAAAAAGGATGTTCTGTATGATAGCGTGAATCATCGCCACCAACAAATCAACCCTGACAAACAGAAGCAAAGATGCAGCAGCCTGCCATCAATTCTGCTGCTAAAGAGACGCCGTTGGAGACATTTATCTACTTTTTTTTTTTCATGCACTGACATTTTAAGTTCTAGTCTTTTCAAGAAATCCGTCTTAAGTTTTCCTTAACGTTGAAATGATTCCGATGCATTTTCTTACTGTCTTGAGTTGGAGCTTGTGTGGAAACAAAGCCACAGATTTAGAGCCTCGTCGTCTGTGAGAGAACGCGCTTTGAATGGTGTCAGGCGTGTCTGCTGATCCCAAAGATCCCATTTCCATAAACAACGGAAATTTGTTTTCAAGTCGGAGCTGTTCTTCAGAACTGGGTGTGACCCACAAAGTGTCAATCAACTGCAGAATGCTCAAACATTTCAATTTAAAAGGAGACAGACATTAAAGGTTAAAGGGAGAACAGAAATGTAAATGACAGCATTACTAATTAGCCAAAACATATTAACGCTGCAGGATTAGCAAAGATCCCCAAAAAGATTGCTTTAGATTATAATAAACAAAACAAATAAAAACAATACGATTGTGATTAATTCATTAGTCAACCAGAAGAGAATTGATTCAATAGCTAAACTAATTTATTTTGTGCAAAAACTCGAGAAATTCAATGATTCCAGAGTCTAAAATGTGTTTTCTTCTTTACTCAGGTTTCAATGACAGTAAACTGAATGTTTTCTTTTATATTACACCATAGTATACATTTAAACATGTCATTCTTTCCATCGTCTTATTGTCCTATTGTCCAATGCTATGCACCACCCGCTATATCAAATTCCTTCTATGTCTAACATACTAATAAATAAAGGAATAAATGTTTCTGATTCCTGATGCTGAACATCTAAAATACCCTTGAATCAATGTTGTTTATTTTGGTTAATTAAACTTCATTAATGCATCACTTTGTCACAAAATCAGAATGTCAGCTGGATTTTCACGTGAAAAGTTATTTTTCTAAACTCCGTCCATAGAAGCCAAAGGGCAGCATGACATAACGCGGCGGGGTGAAAGAGTGAAAGGAGGGGGGGGGGGGGGGGGTTACCTTCTCTTTGTCCCTCATGGATCCTTTTCCCAGAATGGACATCTTTGTGAGCGTGTCCTCCTGTAGCCTCTTCAACGAGTTCCCGCGTGGCCCCAGGAGTTTGCCGACAAAGTTAAACTGCAACAGAGAGCGAGAGGTCAGTCGGCGTCTGCGTGTTTGCAATCAGCAAAGCAATCGGCTTTGCGAGGAATTTTAAGTCAAATCTATGTTGCTGTGTTACGGTTCAACTCTTCCTATGATCAACTCTGCGTATATTTCCTTTAGGTTGACACAATACAATTAATAATGTAAATAAATATATTCCCCTGCATCCATTCTTGTTTTTTCTTTACGGAAGTATAGACGGTGAATGAAACCATACCGTACCAGGACACACTCTCTCATTGAATTGAATGAGAAAATGCGTCCACACATTTTGACTGTAGATGAAACGCCTGCAGGCCGCCTCCACTAATGAGGTGGAGAAGTCTGCACCTGTGGAACAAAACTGATAAACAAAACTATGCTAATCCTCAAATGTAATTACGTGGAGTCCATGGCAGCGACTGGCAGTCACTCCATGCGCTGAAGGATTGGGAGAAGAATGGAAAGATCGACTAACTCTAACTCATCCACGTTGTGATTTAATTTCCATATTTCTCATTCATCAGATTGATCAAACATGTGTTTTGAGCATTTGTTAAGACAGATGGCAGTAAACACAAGGAAGGGAACACACGGAACGACCTGCAACAACATTTCCCGGCCAGATGTTGCAGTTGATGGACTGTGTTTTGACCCCCTGGGGTCTAATGCCGCACCGTTCAGCCGCGATTCATTCTCTAGCAACACGTCGTCACAGTCCCGTGTTGGCAGATGCACCGCCGCGAAAAAAATTGACGCAGCAGCCGAGATACCCCGAGTTTAAGCATGCAGGTCAAGCGTCAAAATGATGTCATTTGTTCATGTTTCTGACAATGAATTCCGTTTTCTTTAAACTATTTATGTTTAACACTTGAGTGAATGCAAAGTGCCCCTGTGTGTGACGATCAATAATCAATAACATCCGGTGCTTCAACCAACCAATTAGCCTCAAAGTAAAGGGTTCCAACAGGAGGCCGTCGTTCTGATGGGTAAATGGGACAATCTATGCTGATTCATGCAGATTTTTTTTATGAAATCAGAACTTTACTGATATCAGTTTCATCCTCTCGAATGTCTGAATTTAAATCCGCATCATTATCATAATGCGCGTGTTTGCGCTGACATTGAACTCCAGCGCCTCCGGCGTGTCTCCATCTATCAAAGGCTTCGCCGCCTCGGATTACTTCACGAGGTCATGCGCTTCCTCAGCCGTGGAAAACACAAAACAAATGTCATGCATTACTGTGTGTGCAGAGCCGGACGTCCTCCGCGCGCTTCCACCGGCAGCTGGAGACGAAAAAGGAAGAGCGGCGCTCCTCCACCCCCCCCGACCCCCCCCACCTTCTCCACGCGTTTCCTTTACCAGTGAGTTATACAGCCGTCTCCCTCAACTATCTAGGTCATCAATTAGCTAGCAGGGTAGAGCCGGTTTGCTTCCACACCTCACCCTTATCTCTCCCGCCTTTTGTCCAGGAACCCGGGAGCTTGTTAGGAAGCCCTCCTGCCAATTCCTGGCCGAGGCACTCGAGCTCGAGTGAGTGGCTCTAAAAACGCTGAGCGCCTGTTGATTCGCGGCCCCCGGTCGGGGCGGGCGGAAACGTCCGGCAGCTCTCGGGCCGCCTTCAGCTTTTTTACGATTACCTCGAGTCCTGCGGCCGGGCGTGATATTCCCGCCGTGTCCCGCTGTGCTAATTTCAAAGTGGCCCCCTGCAAAGTTCTAACCTTGGACCGATGAATATGTAACGGCGCGTTGGCGTTGGGAGCGTGTGGACTTTGATGATAACTTCTGTCTGCGTCACCCGAAACATTTTCACGGCGCACAAATGAACTCCTTGTGTATCCAGTGGGACACGGAATGTTGGGTTAGGGAAATGCAATTTAAAGTTATCTGAGCAAACACGGCCTCTAATGTATTCAAACGTGTAAGAGGTCCATCAAAGGGGACACCGCCGGCGCCGGGGGGAAGGAGGGGGGAGTCGTGGGGGTAAAACACAAGGTGCGGGGAGATGTTTTAAATGTGCCGAGCTGAACCGCCCTCCATCGCCTCCATCGCCTCCGCCCGGACGGGGCCTCGGTCGCTCGCCAGCGTCAGGCAGAGAGCGAAGAAAGAAGGAGCGGATTCACATGAAGGAGACTTTCTGCATCGGTGAAACTCCCCCTTTCATATCGCCTGGAAACGGAGCGCTAATTAAAGATTTGATCAATTTCAGAACGGGAATGGATTTGTGTAAACGATGTTTGTTTACGACGCGTGTCCTGTAGGATCGCTTCCAATTAAATATTTTTGTCTTCCACGCAACGTTCACATGAAGGCAAACAAAACACTAAAAAGGCTTCAGGGGTTTCACCATGTGAGATTTTCATATCTGGATTATTGTCAAAAGACGCTTCTGTGATATTTTTATCTAAGTTGTTTTTTATGTAACATTGGACGATGTTGGTCCAGATGTTGGATGTTTGAGGCTGAGTGATTCTCTCGAGGATGTTGGACCTCAGACCCCTTTGCCGTCACTATCTGGCTTCTTAATCTGTCTGTGCTTCGTCCAATAAACCACGGCGCTCTACGTCAAATTACATTTACTGTATTAAGTTCCCGTATCTGACAATTGAAATAAAGTTTTGATAACAGCATGTACATAGATTACGTATTTTATATCTATATATATATTTTTTTTTTCCCTCAGGCCTTGAAGCAGGTTAAAGTCGTGTTATGGACAATACTATTTAAACACAAATCGTGCAGATTTTTCTTTGGATTAGTTTGACCGATGCCAGTAAATGTCAGAGAGAAATCTGCGCTTGGACATCGGAAGGCGCTTGCGGAGCCACGCGTCCGTCTCGCCGCGCCGAACAATCCTCCCAATATGAGAGTCTCACCGAACACGTGACCGTAATCCCCGCTGTTGATCGGGAATCAAAACCTCCCTGACTCCTTCTGCGACGGATGCTTTGGGGGGGGGGTTAGCTAACGCTCTGGTTATCACGAGGGATTATGTGATTTACAATAAAAACCTGCCCGGGCTCCTCCGCCGGTTCATGTCAGCAAACCGTGTGAGAGGACGGCGCCCGTAATCACCACAATAAAAGCTCACGCGTGGAGAAAAATGGACTGAATTACACGTTTTGCGCAACATTCAGCTAAAAACAAAAGGGGGGAGGCCCCGTGCGAGGCGGTTTCATCGCCCGCTGCGAGCGCCGGGCGAAAGGTGTGCGCCGTGATTTGTGCTGAGGACGGCGGGGACGGGAGCTACAGCGGGGGGGGTGGGGGGGGGATAAATCACCGCTCCCAGCTCGGAGGAGCCACAGTCTGAACTGGAAATGAACCAGTGGGACTCCCCGCGGCTCGCTAATGGCCTGCGGCGCGTTCTGCCGAAGGGGGGTGAGAGAGGGCCCGCGGGCCGGGGGGAACCGCACGGATGCAGAGGCCGGGGTGTTATTTAGTTGCTGAGTAGGTGTGACTTTTTGTGTCGTCCTGGTTAAATCGGGATTTTAAAACGCGGACGTCTCTATTTCTGTAACCGACGTTTCAGTTCTTGTTCTAAAATAACATTAACAGAGATTGCTTATATATGTTGTGCTAAAAGGTCCAGATTAACGAGTTCTAATGGTGAATCCCATCGTTCTGGTAAATTAAAACACAGTTGATCCCCTGATCAGCAGGTAAACGCCGCGCCCATTAATTCGTGTTTATGAGAAATGACAAAACTTCCAATTGAACTAATATCATAAAACTGCCAAATGGACGAGAACGCGACAACCGACTAACTAACAAAGCCGCTAAGTGGCTATTTTGGAAAACGTCCTGAATGCCCGGCGCCCAAAGGGTTGATGCTGGCAGTTTAGGAGAAAAGCCCATTGGAGTCAGGACCATCACTCTCGCCGTTTCTACCTGTCGGGTGGAACAAATTGAATTTGTCGTCCTCCGGTGGCTTTGTTGGAGCTCTAAACAGCGTTTGAGTGCGGCTACTTATCAAAGCTGCCAAGGCGGATTTGTTTGGCTGGGGACCTTGGAGACTTGGAAGCGGGCCCCCGCGAGGACGCCATACGTGCAGAAGACTGGCGGACCGCCGGGTCCGGCTCGTCGTCAACGCACACCGGAAATGTCCTCAAAGACCACAGAGGGACCCGAGATTTGGTGATTAGGGGGGAAACAGACGTTCCGTCCACTGGAGTATTGAGATATAACCACTGAAATGTGTCCCGGACAGCGGTTATCAAAAGATATGCAGCTCTCGGGAGTAAAACTTTAACAGCGATGTAGCATCTTACTGCACGCATGTATGTGAACATGTGACATCTACAGTGATCAATCAGAATCATCAGAACCTCATTGTGGATATTCTTGTTAACACTTGAAAATAGAAGAAGAAGATTTTCTCCAGCGACGGTTATTTTAAAATGAAGAGCGTTGACAGGGAAGTGTGTGTGTCACGGGGCTCAAGCGGCCGTGTGTTGACATTTTAAAGCAACGTGTTGAGCTGATTGCTGGTTTCGAACGTGTGTTTACACGGCGTGTGTTGAACTGACAGGTGTTATTTTAACGTGCATGCGATATAATATGCTCGAGCCATTGTGCAGAAATGCACTTTTCTGCCGGGGGAGGAGGGGGGGGGATGTAGCTGCAGGTTACCGCCCTGCTTTCCCCTTGGAGGGCTGAGGTGAAAACGAGAGCGTCCCTCTCGCTTTTACACCAACCCACCTCCCCATCGCGCTCCCACCGGGAAATCCCTGTCATGCACCGAGCTGCCGAAGAGCTCCTCCGCTGCGGCAACGGCGCTATCGCTCCAAGGGGGGGAGAGGGGGCAAAGCCGGCTGTCTAGGGGGGGGGGGGGGGCTCAACATGTGACTCGCGTGCTGCATTGCAAGCGCACTCTCACCCCGCCAGGCGCTCACGAGAAGGAAAGGAAACACCTCAGAGAGGGTTGCAAGAGATCCGCTGCTCATTTCAAGACAACAGAATCCATCGTTCCATATTCCTTAAATATTCATTGACAAATATAAATAAAAATATACAGTCGTGAAGACTTTGACTGAGCGAGGTCGGTGGAATGTGGAGGCAATTATGTCGTCGAGGTGTTCAGGAACATTTCCTGCATCGGGACCTCGTGAATGGGAGGTTTATTGGTATTCAGGCGAATCAGCAGCGCCGACCTCCACCTCGAGTGTAAAAAAGGCGCATCAACGTAATGAGAGAAAAGGTCGTCCCAGTCACTCATTTGCTGTGAAAAGAGGCTTGGTGGTGGGAACCTTTCAACAGCTTGAAGCGATTTCTTAAGGAAGAAAGTTCCCCCCGACAAAGTCCCAGATCTGTCAGCAAAAAGACTCCAAGTGTTTTACGTCATGGAACAAAAAGCTTCCCGTGGCTGTAGTCAGGAATCTAAATAGAAACCGGCGATACTGTAGTTCGGCTTCAGCGTCTATAAATATCCACGCACACTCCTGGAGAAGTCTGCTGCCACAACACTTACTTTGGGAAACTGCTTGACTGGTATTAAAATCTTCTGGCCCAGTTTCATGTTCTTGTTGATGACGACGTCGATGAACTTCTCCTCTTCCTTCTCCTCGTCTTTCTGAATTTTCTCAATCTCTGAAAAAGAAGGAGAGACAAAAGGACTGAGTCGGGGTGGACGAGCAGCAAATGGGAAACACTGGAAAATGAAAAGTAACATGTTGCCAACGAGGAGGAGAGTTCCACACTCGATGGATTAGTTGAGTCGATTTAATACAAACACAAGTGAGCGTGAATTGTTTTTGTCTTTTGTTCTTGGACTTTTGGCAGAAGGGAAAAAAAAAAAAAAAAACTCAACAAATAATTAACTCGGATGAATCAATAACGAAATGAACACACGGCTCTGTGAATAATGCAGGTGGGTTTCAATCTTTTAGCAAGAAAGTAAGTAAACGTTCCCAAAATGAAACCTATTAATTAAAAATTGCCTATAAAATGTAAAGAACGACTATTCAGGTCTGTGAGTGCAGCGGTTAAAAAGCTAAATGAAGATATTGGATCATCTGGAACCAGCTCTTGTTTTAGAGGATGCTCGTGTTGGTCTGCAGATCCGCTCGAACCTTTCAGGCACAAGAAAAGGACGCTATCTCTCTCTCTCTTAACCTTTAGGCCACCAGAAGGCCAATTTGTTTATACAGAAAACAAATAACGGGTGTGTGGGGGATGAGGGGGGAGGATGGGGGGGGGACATACACACTCCGGGCTCTCAGGGAACGCCGGCTGTCGCAGCTCCTCCTATGGGAGCGGCGCACTTGGATGTATTTGGAGATGTAACCTTGAACGTTTAATCAGATGGATAACGTCGGTGGAAAAATGGTTTTGCAGAGAGGGCAGCTGGGAGGTGCAGGGGCGTCACGGCAAAGACTGTAGGCTAAAAGCACGGCGGCGAAGTCCATCACCGATTTATTTATGGTCTTTAAAAAAAAAAAAAACAGGATTCAAAAGAGAGCGGTCTGGATTTTACATTTTACAAAGCCATCGTTTTAACTGGGTTCAAGGGTCCAAATGAATCACATGATCATTTTCAATTACAATTATCGGAGCATCGGCACCTCCGGGAGCCTATAACCTATAAAGGCACCGTGCCGCCAGTCGGGCGAAATGTAATAAAACCTTTTGATTGGAGTGTTACCAGGGATAAAAGAGGGAGAAGGGAGATTTTCTTAAGCTCTCCTTTATCCCGGGGGGGGGGGGGGGAGACAGAGAGCGCAACATCAATATTAATGCGTCGCCTAGCAACAATGCCAACACAGAGTTTCCTCTAAACAGTCCGGCTCTGATTCATCAGGAGAGATTGTGACTCAGGTCGTGTTTGTCAACGTTTTTTTTTTCTTTTGCTCTGAAAAAATCCCTCTTGCCCTCAAAGAAAATATTGCATTTTAAATCCAAGTAAACCCAGACGGTGCGCGCCGGTCAATGGAGGTGTGGGTGTAGCAGGTGTAATGAGCTCTACATCGGAATCAGCCGGATCGAACCGACGGACTGAAGCTCGTGTGTGTGACGACGTGACCTGAGCAGCACCTTCGTCGGTCCAAGTGTTCCAAAAGAAAGCCCCGTAAACTGTTGTTCTTTTTGCTTGTGTTCAGCCTTGAGAATCGGCCGTTTATTCCTTTGCTTCCGTTTGATGAGGTCACAGAAGAATAGGATTCCCCTGCGTCGTGTTTGACTGCATGCGCTCTGGGCCACTCGCCAGTCATTATCGTTGAATATGACACGCCTCGGCTTTTCTTTCTGATCCACCGTTTGCATTGTTTTGCTTCCCGATCCTTTCTGAGGCTCCGAAGTGCTTCGATGAAACTCAGCTTAGAGTACAAATCTCGGTTAATACAACTGTGGTTTCATTTGATTACTTTTGGCCTTCATTTGCAAAAATGAAGACAAAACGAAAGCCGATGGAAAGATACTAAACAGCTCCTATATATATATATATATATATATATATATATATATATATTTGGTCCGTCACATTATTTGGCCCACTGCTCACTTACTCAAGATTTCTAACTATGATTAATCCTATAAAAAAAATCTGCTTCTCTTTTTTCCGTGAGACAAGTGCATCGAACATGAAAACTTTACCACCTTTGCACACGTTGAACACATCTCCACAGTCACCGGACTCCATCCCAGCTGCCCCGCTCTTCCATTAGAGTAAAGCAGCTCGCTGATTCAGGCCTCCCCGTTTAAAATTCATAAGCTGGCTGGATTTCGCAGGATTATGCATGACTTGGGCTCCGTGCTGGAGGGTCGGGTGCGGAAATGGGGACTGAGGCAATTGGGTCATTAAGTGTCCCGGGTTCCGTGTTGAGGGGCGCGATACATGATAAGTACCGTGCCTGCTCGCCGGGTGCATGTGTTCTTATTCTCATCTGTCATCACAGATCATATGTAAATGTTTTATCAGCGAGATCATGAGTTCGCACGAAAGTCAGTGAGCCTCTTTTCGCTTTTTATGCTTTTATTTGTGTGGAAATTTTGCCATCTTGAAACTTCCCCTTTAGGCTGATTTTACACAAATACAGTGACCAACACCAATCAATCTCATCTATATCTGGGCAATAGATGCTCTAACTGGGATATCTGTCTATCTGCGTTGCCCCGGGCGACGTGCTTTAGTTCCAGTAAATACAACCCGTCGGATGTGACATCCACTGTGGTCGACTTAATCGTGTTTGTTACGTCTTGAGATGCTGTTCTTACTTATTGTTCTGCTCATGAAATAGCAGAAAAAGCTCACAATCATTTGTATTTAATAGATGTCATTATGATTTGCACCACCTTGAATTTCTTCACTCTGCGGGATGCAACTTCGTCGCAGTGCGTTTCCTTGTGTAAACAACACGGCGACAAGCTTCTCTTTAGCGTCGAGAGTAAAAAACACATCTTTTCTAAGTGGCACAGGGGTCGTTTCTTCGCGAGACCGATGCCGCGTGTGTCCGTCTGCGGCCCGACAGACTCATTATTTTTGTTGTTTTGCAATTACGGGTCAAAAGAAATAAATGGTCCAACGTGAACGCGACCTCGTTTATTCTCATTTCCCATCCAGCGTAGCACGCTTATACAAACACAATCAAAAGAACAATGAGGTCACCGAAGGATGAAATATTCAAACTAAAATGCAAAAAAAAATTCCAGACAGAAGATTGTTAAAAAAACAAAAAAACATCAAGCTGCTTCCTACAATGAGCAAAGGGACCAGATGAGGTTATTTTTCCACTGTGGGTGGAGTGGAGAGTTGGAGAAAAGGTGAGTCTTGTATTTCCGATCACATCTGCGGCAGCTACCGTATACGAGTAAATGCTAAACACAGCACAGGAAGAGCTGACCGACCGAGTAACGCCATCCATTACTAACTCAGGGTTTGCTCGCATTACCACCAGTCGGTACCATCTAAGCTGCGGCAATTCAATGATGAATCGAGCGATCAGTTAAGGATCAATGTGTGGTTTTGTCTTGTCAGCATCCCAAACACACTGCAGAATTATACAAAGACAAAAGCAGCTTAAAAATAGACATAACACAAAGCAACCGGGTCTCGCAACGATTCGAATTCACAAGCATCAATAAGTCCTACGCTTTCTTTGGAGTTTTTTTTTTATGCTCTAGCCGTTAAAGACGGCGGTGGAGTGACAGACCGCCGAGGGTCTCGGTGCCAGAAACCGTTTCATGTGCGCGCCCAGTGCGACCGCACACAATTAGCTTGAATCATGGTGTCAAGGCTGTGACCCTTGAGAAAGAAACACTAAGGCAGAAAAAAACACACACATATATATATATATATATATATATATATACACACACACACACATTTATTGCCTGGACTCGCTCCTGTCCCGAAATCTCAATTTCACTCCGGCTCCTCAGCTGCCTCGACAAGGTCAGGCTGGCAGCGGGAATTCGTCTCGCCCCCCTAATCTGGAGATTACATTCTCGGCGGGCCGGGGAGGTTCCCTCCCTCCCTCCCTCCCTCCCTCCCTTTCTGCCTCGCTCCCTGAAACCCCGCCAGCCCGGCTCTCTACTGTGAGGTAACGAGCCAAGACCCGCTTACAGTGTGGAGATAATGTCCACGGATTAAGGCCGAGAACCCCTCGAGCGGCGCCTCCTTTCATTTCAGCATCCGGCCCGCGAAGCGCCGTAAACACATCCAGCTTCCTGCGCGTCGCCGGGGAAAGTCCCGCCCCCTTTCCTCTCGTGCAAAGCGCGCGATAGCGGATGGGTTTAATCCCCCCCCCCCCAGAACTCAGTGGCAAAGGTTCTGGACACCAAAAAAAGCCGGGGCTCTTTCGCAATGGTCTCGTCGCCCGCGGGTTGAGTCGAAATTTCCTTCCACGCCGCCCCCCAGTGGCCGAGACGCTCAGAAGGGAGAATCCTTGTCTGTCTCAAGACACCTTGAAGGGTTCCACACCGCCCAAAAATGCCGACAAAACCACTGCTCGTGAGATCTGCTTTTTTTACGCGCAGACCTCCGACCTCCGGCTCGCCTTTGTTTGCTCATCCAGGCAGTCGGAGGGCGCTTCTCGTTTTTTGCCGCCTGTTCGTCTGAAATGCTTTGCTTGCACGGAGATTATCGTGGTGTTCTCAAGCAGCCGGAGAATTTTGGGCTTCACAAAATTTGTCCCGATCCATGAAATCCACAGCAGCTGCATTTTAAACTGTGCGACGTGTGGCGGACGCAGGTTTCATCAGTGGTGGGTTGCGTCTGGTGCAACAATTGTGGCGAATGTTATCAAACTGTTCACAGAGAAAGCGGCGAGCAGCCGCGGAATCATCATCGAATGGGATTGAAAGCGGGGCGGCGGACGAGGAGGAACGTGTGAATAAGCGGCGGTTGTGGTGAGAGAGGACGCAAACTCCCGCAGGGCCCATCCGTTGAAAAGCATCACGTCCGCAGTCGCACTGAGCAGTGAAACAAAGTCAGCTCTTACTTCAGCTGTGACAAAGTAGACTTGTTGGCAGTATGAGCCCCTTTTGCTGAGCTGTTAAAAACAAAAAAAATACAATACAATGTTGTATTTTTACCGGGGGAAACTAATTCGACTGGTGATAAAAAAAAAAAAACCTTGACCTTGGCATCGCGG